CCCGGAACAGTTCTGTACCAGTCTATCCATATCTCTGTTTTCACCGTCTATGCATTCTGGTCAGAGTCGTTATGCAGGGAAATGTCATTGCGTTTAAAGTGAACTTAGTCGGTGGATTCAACTGAGAGGGTTCCCCATGGATAAAGACTGCTGACAAAACACCCGCCTCACTTCGGACTTCCTTCAGCTTGTCTGTCTCTCAGCTGAATCTCTACTGAGTTCGTATTGTTGAAAAATTCATTTTTATTTACAATATTAGGCGAATTTCCATATAGAAGGGCAGGCATAGGAATGCCTTCATGGATAACAGTGCTTCTCTACACGACGCATCATCTATCTGACACCAAATTGCCACCTTAACACTGTAGCACACCCCGCTAAACTCTGGATTAATAGGGTTCCAAACTAAAATGTTGGACGAGTTAGACAAGGGTAGAAAGTTTGCATTCAATTTCCACCTCCCACCCCACCCTGCCCCGCAACCAGGACACATCAATGAACGCTGCTGACTATTTGTCCTGAGAGCGACCTGCAGGTATTTGACCTGATTTCAATGTGAAATAAAAGGGTAAGATTTTTGTCTAGGAGGTCCCGGTCTAGGGCGCTCACATGCAGTTAAATAATCATGATCGATCAGTAGTCGACGAGGGAAAGGAAGATTAGATATTGGCATTGTCGAGGCCTGGCTTAGGTGTGCTGATGACAGCTAAAAATAAGAAACTGTAGTTCTTCGTGCGAAATTTGCATCCAGCGATAATGAAATAACGGTAATTTTAACTGATTAGCCGTGAATGAAAAGGTAAACCAGTGACGAGTCCATCCATGTACCCCCAGGCTTTTGCAGGGCTCATAACTTCAACCACCCAACATTGAATGGAACATGATAGGAGGCTACAACATTGTCCGTATCGTGGAAAGTACGTCCTTTTTGTGCTAGAATATTCAAACTTATCGTACCAGACTAGAAGTTAGAAATTCCCGTAATGAATAAATCTGACGTATTAGTGATTTGCGAACATACCCTGGCTTTCTATTGGGCTTCGCAGTCAATCACACCTCATCTATGGCTAAGCACTCCGTGAAGTCTCAACTTTGAAAGAATATGCAACCAACCATCTGAAATGTCACACGTAAATCAGCTGCAAAAGAGCTAGACTGTTCACCGCCGTAACAGCTCTTATGCTTAAATAAGCCCTCTTTAGGATTTGCAGAAAGCTACTGCGGAAGAATCTGCGATTGGCGCTTACCCTGCCAGTAGTCTCTCGTCCGCTTAGTAAAGCGATTTCTACATGAGGCCAAGGTTCATTTGAGATCCCGAAAGGATAGAACTCGGAGGACCAGTCGAAACCTTTTTACGTTGTCAGCATTTGTGGGCCAAACGAGCTTGTAACATAGCCTGGTCATTTGGTGTTGCATTTTGGTAATCGCTGAATAATAGTCGCATTTATTATGGGTAAAAACAAAGAATTAAATTTAAGGAAGAATTACAAAAGAGCTTATAAGCCTGCCCCATCCCCAGCACGGATTCTGGTGTTTTGTCTGCAAATATATCGCATTTACAGAATGTAACAACAGGGGTTTTAACTGCATGAGTAGTGTTTCCTAAGGACTGCGAGGTAGGACATGATAATCGGTACCCCCGTGTTACAGGTGGCTTTGTGCTGACTTCCAAGGAGGATTAAAGGAGAAGGGAATGTGGACGACCCTGGAATTTAGCACAACGCCACCTCTCATACGGATGGTGACTATTTCCGTGTCCTACCAACTGCTCCAGTCTCTGTGATTGTCTGCTGTAGACCAAAAATCCAGACTATGCAGCATATACCTAGATGAAAATGACCCCACTGAAGTCAGGATAGAGGCTGGTCGCTGGGAAATATGGCAGATACGAAATAGTTCAGAAGGGTCACATACTAGACGGGCTACACATGCTGCGATGAAAAACTGTGTATCGATACGAACGAAAAGGCGAGTCCTCGGAAACAGTGGAGATGAAGGAGACGCTATCGATGGGACAGGAATTCTACTTGTCTGACGTTTCGAAATCTCACTCGAAGCCATCATCATTGGCATCCATCGATAATGCCGGTGGAGGCATGGGTAGAGACACACAGACAAGATGCGATCATTAGGCGCCAAGTAACCAGGCCGAACGGCCTCCTGTTACGTCAGAAAAGTCTGGAATCGTTTGTCGCATCTGGTACAGATGTGAACAAAGCAGCTACCCTTGAAGAACTGGGGTATTACTTAAAAAATGAGTGACTGAACACTCAGTAGCATGCAGCGAGGAGAAACGACGCTGACTCTTAAGGTACGGCTTATTCGACGGGAAACGGTCACACCTTCAGGTCCGACGAGGCCACTATTATCACGGCAGCTGGCAGCCGCGGGAGTCGCCGGCTGCTGTAGTCATGGTTCTCTCACTCACATTCCACTGACGAGCGCAATGACCTCCTTCTCCATATTCAATGCTGTGACTTTACTGGGGAATAGTAATGCGCTACGCGGTCAACGCGCGTGAGAGCCCTGGTTCTAGTGACAGTATTTGCGAGCCAAATTGTCGAGCCCTTCTGGAGCCAGTGTGATGGACTTGCAGCCGTTAACGACTCGAATATGAGCGAAGAAGCAATAAAGCAGCAAGTACGACTATGGGCGACGAATACGCGAACTGTTAATTAGGATAGGTATGTGGTCACACAGCCATGACATCCTATAAATATCTCAGTCCCTGTGCATCTATCCGCCCTATCTGCGGTTGTCTCTGATGATGGGTCCGGCTTAGGACCCGACGCATCAAACAAATAAGATTCTTACTCCAGGAGTCAAGTCTTCTTCTTATTAGACCGCGCATCATACATACTGACATTTTGAAGTATTCCCCACGTATGTTTCCTAAAGAGCCGGTATTAATTTTACAGTAGATAGTTCCGGCCACGGTTAAAGTGTTGGAATTGGTAATTTTATTCTCCTGACCCAGCAACCGATTTAGGAATAATAAACGCGTCAAAAGCATTAGGGGTTAGTGACATCAACAAAATCCAAATACAGTACCCACAGGAATTAGGAAAGCTCAAATAAGTTATTGTATATATAAACAGTGACCTTTAAATTGCGGTCTGACTTAAAAACTGGATGAGTCAGCGGTTTTTATGTCTCAAGATACATGACAGATTAGAATTATAGTAACAGTTGCTCCGACGAATTTTCAGCAGGAATTTCCGCTGCTGCAGTGACTAATCGACTTTCACTTTCTCTTACATGGAATCGCATGTGGCTATCTGACCAATACCAGCTCGTCGATCTTTGTGTGTATCCCAGCAGAAAATTTCAAATTGTTACCAAAATTTGTTTGATGTCTATAAAATTCACCGGAATAGTTTATTACCAAAGGGACATTCTCTATTCTGAAAATAATTCGACTATTATTTTCACTTCAAACTGGTGGAAGCTGGTTCATATTAAAACACATGCTGAAACGGGAAAATGATAAACTTTGTTTAAGTAGGGACTTTGTCCGCACTGTTTTGCGGATTTATTCAATAATAGGATGAAGTATGGATTACATTCTGCATTGGAATGAATAAATCAAATATTCTAATGCTGAGGTTGCAGTGCATTCCCGCACCTTGGACGTGATACGCAAAATTTAAATTTGTAATAACTAATTCCTAACGGTTATGGCGGCACCACAATCCACCTAAGGCCACAAAACGATATTGGTAAACACAAGTAGGATCATAAGCATGGCTCGTGAAATTTAATGCGTTCGGCACAACCGTTTAAAGTAAAAATGAAAAAATAAACAGTCATTAAGTAAATTTTGGCAATTTACAATTGAGGTGAGAAAGTAAAAGAGGAGGATTATTTCACAAGACGTGTTGTGTGGCATAAAGAAGACGTAAGTACTCTCGTTTGGAAACATGAATGTAAGACCAAATAAGAAATCCACGCGAGATAAGTTGTCTTCACGAAGGGACCGCATCCACTCACCAGATCGCTGATCGCCGCGCTGCAACCACTGCATTATTTACCGGGATATGAGTTTTATCTTCGACTGACGATAGATAACCCTAAAACACTTAATTCCGGACCATTTAGCACAGAAGAGAATAGGTTTATTATAGCACTTCTTTGGCACTGTCAGGCTCCTTTGAACACAGGAAAAAACCTATCAGTATCAGTATATTTCAGGGAAAGTAGGTGTGTACCTTTGAAATCCCTATTGGTTACATGCAGAGGATATATATATGGAGGAAATGGAAAGGAAGTAAAATGAAAGAAATGCGAGGGGAATAGCAAAAACTGTACAGATAAACACAGAATGTCATGCGTTAACAGAATTTAGGGTCACATTAACTTGCTTTGTTGATCAAATACAGCGGACAGTTGAGACACACTTAAGATACGGGAAAAGAAGGAAAATTGTTTGGTCTACAGGCATCGTAGTGAACGCGAACAGCGGTGTGCGACGTGGCCGAAGCTTAATAACTTACATAAACATATATTACTTAAATGTTGGTAGTCGCATCGTCATAACACTAAATTCTCAGCGTTGGCTGTCAGGATGGCCGTAGTCCGGCGTTATTGTGGTGCGCGCTACAATGCTGATCTAGTCTCCATTTAAAAGTACCTACCGAGCCCGACATAACAACATCCTCAGGCAAGGCATTCCAAGCTGCAACCACTCTGTTGGAGAAGAAGAACTTTCGGGTGTCTAGCCGGGCACCAGCCACACGCAGTTTGAGTGGATGGCCTCTCAGGTTAGTCGTAGTCGCCAACTCGAAGAAGTCTCCAAACGCGAGGCAGCAGCCCTGATTGCGCACGATGCGGAATGCTTGTATCAGGTCCCCACGTAGCTGTCTGTAACTCAAAGGAAAGAGGTCAAGATTAGCTAATCGTGTTTCGTAGGGTAGTGACCACTGCCCAGATGCAAGTTTCGTTGCTCGCCGTTGAACTTTTTCGAGTATGCCCAAGTCTTTAGCGGTCCAGGGTCGCCATGCTTAGATAGCAAACTTCAGATGCGGTCGCAAAATAGTTTGAAAGACCTTGGCGAAGCAGTCTTCATCAAAGGAGGAGAACGCCCGTTTGACAAGGTATAGCATGGACATCGCCGACTTGGCCACCTTGGAACATTGCAGCGAAGGCTTAAGCGAGGTTGTGATCCATAGACCCAAGTCCTTCTGGGCGTCGACTTCTTGCAGTGGTTTGCAAGTCAGACGGTAGACCGTGGGGTTAGGGGAACTGGTTCTGCCGACGCGTAGGAAAGTACACTTGTTTACGTTGAACGGTAGAAGCCAGTCTTTCGACCATTGCTCGAGGTGGTCCAGATTTGTCTGCAGTCGCGCCTCGTCAACTTCGCTTCGTATGGTACTCCAGATCTTTATGTCATCGGCAAACATTGCGACATCGCAATTCAGTTCGTTTGCGCAGTCATTGACGTATAGGAGGAACAGTGTAGAGCCAAGAACAGAATCTTGGGGAACACCACTCTTAACGGCAACCTCGGCAGATTGTTGTTCACCGACGTGCACGGCTTGAGAGCGGCCGATTAAAAAGCCCCGAATCCACATCAGAAGCTTACCTCGCACTCCTGCACGGCTAAGTTTGTATAGAAGGCGGTGGTGAGGCACACTATCGAAGGCCTTTTTAAAGTCGATATAGATGGCATGCACCATATCTCCTCTATCAACAGCCCTAGTCCAGTGTTCCAGACAGTAGAGCAGGTTTGTCACACAGGATCTGCCTTTTCGGAATCCATGCTGAGAATCGGAAAGCAAATGGTTTTGTTCAAGGAACTGCATTAGTTGTTGCTTTATTATCTTCTCCATAATCTTACAGCAAATGGAGGTGAGGCTGACCGGTCTGTAATTGTTCGCAGAGACCCGACTTCCGCCCTTGTACAGCGGCGTAATCCACGCCGACTTCCAGTCGGGTGGCAGACATCCGGTCTCGAAGGATGTATGGAAAAGCATGAAGAGTGGCTTAGACAACTCACCGGTGAGTTCCTTCAAAATCTTCGCCGGAATCTCATCGGGACCTGGTGATTTGGATTCTTTTAGCCTCAGCAACTCCGTCAGAACCATACCCTCAGTGAACTGGACGGTCTCTATAATTGGGGTGTCTTCGAAGGATTGAGGGACCGAAGGTTTGAATCCTGTTTCGCTACTAAAAACGGACCGAAAAAAATTCTGAAAGGTGATCAGCTTTCGCCCTGTCGTCAGTGAGATGTTCGCCTTCAGCAGTCCTTATCAGGGGTATTGGGTCCTTGTTCCGCGTGCACTGCCTAATGTAACCGTAGAATAATTTAGGGTTCTCCGCGGCACGGTTAAGCAGATCCCGTTCGAATTCCTTTCTAGTTTTGAGAATAAGACCCTTGACTCGATTTCTTTGAATTTTGTACGCGCATATAGATGTGGGGCTCCTGTCAGAAAGCGATTTTTTCCACAGCCGTCGTTTTTTATTCACTTCATTCTTCAAGGCTTACGTAAGCCATCGAGGTCTGTTAATTAACCTCTTCCGTGAAAGGGGACAGTGGTTAACGATCAGCTCGTGCAGAATTTCTCGGAACCGTTGCCAGTCTTCGAGTATGCTCCCAACAAATATGGACTCCCACTCAATGCGTAAAATTTCAGCCCTCATTTGGTCGAAATCCCCGCGCCAAAGGTTTCTTCTAACTGTCCCGGGTTTCTTGGGCATGGAAAAAAGCGAGTAATCCCATAGAAGAACGACGTGGTCACTTTTACCTAAGGGGGGTAGGCATGACACCCCATTAATGCTGTCCTGTGACTTCGTAAGGACAAGATCAAGGCAGTTGGCTTGTTGGCCTTCGCGTACTCTAGTTGGTAACATGACGTGTTGAGTGAGAAATAGCTTCAGTGTCGTGTTCAGAAAACTCCTATCGAAGGTCTGTTCTGAGCTATTTGCATGGGTTGAGCTCCAGTCAATATGGGGCACGTTAAAGTCGCCCATGATTAGGATATCCGGCCGC